ATTAATGCGAGCAGCACAACAGAAAAACAACATATGTATGTGAGTACATTAACAAGGTCACAAAGGTGGGAGGCATAGAAAGGTAGAGTGAAGAAGATACAATTAAGAAATACTCTGGGAAAGATAGAGGGAAAGACACAGAGAGAATATAGAGGGAAAGGGAGAGTGTTGGAATTAGAGGAATAAGCTTGAGGCCGTAGTGGAAGTACAGAGAGGTGAAGATAAAGAAAGTCTACAGGAGATCAAGAAAAATATCAATGGAGTATAAAATTATTATAGTATTATAAAATATATGAATATGATTTTAAAAGGAAATACTTTTGTATTATATACATATAAATATATATATTTCTCTATCTCCTCTCTCTCTCTCCCTCTCTCTCTCCTCACGCTATCTCTATCTACTGCTCTTCACCACAAAAACTCCTCAGTTCACTCAATTTCAAAGGGTATTTGAGATGCCTGCCAAATAAATTGCGGAGTCTGTTGAATGAAAATAATAAATTTCATCCGCTCGATCGCAATTAATTGCGAAAACGACTTTTAGCTGCTGTGGCAGCTCCCGCTCTCGCTTTTTGGTCAGAGTTAATTTCGACATAAATAAACAAATACGATTGTTAAATACTTGTTCTTCTTCTTCTTCTTGTTTTCTTGCGCTTTAATTTGTTTGCTGCTAAAATACAACAACAACTAAATGCAAACATTTCGCAGGCCTATGGAAAACACAAACATCTGGGCCCGTTATATGGGGCATATATAGACATATATAATATATATATATACATATGTGAGTGCGTGTGTGTGCCAATTGAATTGACCATGAAAAGTGTTTTTGCCAGCTGCCCAGGCGAGTGTGTGTGTGTGTTGTTTTTCAGGTGTGCTGTAATAAAAACAGCGCGTTTTAATTTTACATTTTCCGTCTAGACAAAAAATCATATAATTTCTTTGAATGGAACTAAATTGTAAATTTTTTGCATTCTACAATCTTAAGTGCTTTATTTTCTCTGGGATTTGTTTTCTGCTCTGCTCATTTCAGAGTTATAAAACACTATTATATCATTTTTATTCAAGTCAAAGTTAATGTATAAGGATAAAGCACTTAGTTATACAATATAGCTATATATGTAACTTTTCTATGTATACCATAAACATCCTTTCTTCACAGATTGTCACCCCTAACTAATCCAAGAATTTCTCGAACTGCCCCTAACTTAGCCAATTTCTGCATGCTCTAACATTTTTAATTTATATCAAGCTAAAACTTTTCAAATTTCAGAACTTTTTTCTATACCCAGCTCCTGTTTTAACCCCATCACCGATAGCGTTTCGATTAAAAATACAAATAATCGATAACATATTTATAAGCCGCAGCGTAGAAGCTTCCACCTGGAGCATGTGTTTGCGTTTTCACGCTGCTTTTCCAAATGACTGCACACTAATCAAGCGAGTAAGCGCAAGATAGAGAGAGAGCGAGAGAGAGAGAGAGAGAGAGGGAGAGAGAGAGAGAGAGAGAGAGAGAGAGAGAGGGAGGGAGTCGCACAGACTGCGAGACAGAGCCATGCAAGCTAAAAGCCTGCGGCACGAAAAGGTCAAAGGTCGCCAAGGGGGCGGGCGAGCGCGTGCGTTTACCTTTTGGGCCGTTGACACAAACTGCACAAGAAACAAATTTGAAAAAAAAAATATATATATATACAATATACAAAAACAAAAGCAACCATGGACGCCCACTTTTCTTTGTTGGCTGGGCGTGGCTGTTTTTATTTGCTCTATTCGAGCTCCACTTTAGATTGGCAACGGCAATCAGACAGCGAGAGAGTGAGACAGAGAGAGCGAGACAGCGAGGTTTTGGACGCAGTTCAAGGCGGTTCACTGATAAATAATACAACTCGAATAAAAAAGCATTCTGTAGAAAAGTTGGCAACGCCTTTCTGTGAGGCTTGTCTAATTAGTTTGCATTGTTGCGAGTGGCCATAGGGACGGCTCGGTAGCTCAGCTGTAATAAGCAGTTAAGTAGCTAAGTCTCTTTAAGTACATTCAAGTCTCTAAGTATCTTTGCAACGCTTCAACTTAATTTCCAGTTGGCAGTTGGCGCGGCAGCTAAGGCAAATGATAACAGCGTTGCCACACTGCGTGAAATTGGGCAAACGCAAATGTGCGGCACGTGCGACAAGTATTATGCGATTAAGATTAGAAGTGTGCTGTAAAATGCAATAGCTGCGCCCTGGCAGTGCTTGAGGAATATATTAAACTAATTGTGAATAGATTTACAATGGGCATGCAAGACGTGAAAAATACCCGGCATGAAGAAATGCTTGAATCTGATATGATAGATATTTATATATTTTTGTTTATGTAGAAAATAATTTGTAAATGAATAATATATTTTATCTCCTAATCTACCTTTACTCTTTGAGTTTAAGTATTCTCCCTATATATTCTTCCGACATTAAATAAGATTGGCACACATATGCATGTACATACCTAGCTCGAGGACAGTTTCCCTTTGCCGTTACGTACACCCTTTCATAGCCTTACTGCCCCATAATCATTCACAATTTGAAATGCAATTGCAAAAAAGAAAAAACACTCGCATATCGTTTATAGTGTTCGACGGCTGTGCTATTCCTATGCGATAAGCCAGCAGTCCCCCGATGTAATCGCCGCCAGCTAGGGAGGGGCTGGAAAGCAAACAAAAGCCACCCGCAAAACGAGTAGAGGGAGTGAGAGAGATAGAGATAGGGAGAGATGGAGAGCTAGCCAGAGGGGGAGAGGGAGCTAGGGGGGCGGCGCGTGTGGTCAGCTTGTTGCATTTTGCTATACAACCGCAAAAGCTATAATTTTAATTTCTTGATTTTGACGTATACCCTGGAAGAAGTTGCTAAAGGGTATGCTGAAATTTTCTATGAATTTTCTATGAAAACTAAAACTAAACCAAATGACTCTAGCTAAAAAACAAAATCTTAGAAAGATATTAGGCATATTTAGTTTAAACCACCTCAAAGGGTATTCTCAAGTCATGCCCCGTCTTCTACCCTCTCAACTCACGCTGTTGGATAATTGATTTTTCAGCGAGTTTTCTTCTGCGCTCTTCGCTGTCAGAAAATTTGCATTTAATGCACATTTCGCAAGACGTTTTTATAATTTATTTAACTTATATATATATTTTTCTCTTGTATAATATTCGCATTAATTATGCAAAACGCTTGGAAATTGATGTGCTAATCAAAAATATATAAATAAATAGCAATAGTAATAAAAGAAAATAGCTATTGGGGTCAGCTAAGCTAGTCAATGCAATGATATGCTATCGATTCTAGCTGTTGAGCAACACTTCATGAATAAACTGACTTGTTCAACACTGCAAACTGTGGCTAGCATTATGCTAAACTAATTGTATAGACATTGAAAATTCACATAAACATATCAAAAGCAACATTTGCATACATGCATTAGTTATATGTTTTTCAAGGTGTTGAAAACAAAAAACGAAAATAACTGCGAAGCTAATTGGTCTAGCGACGACTTATGTATGTAGATGGAAATAATACCATTGTGCGAGAGTATCGATGTGGGCAGTCACTGCTGACACAGCAACGATGGCAACATTGAGGAACTCATAATGCGAGCTTTAGAGAGATTTTCTGGAATTTTCTAGAGCTTGCAAAAATTTTGCAAGTTGCTTTCAATCTCAATATTCGTAGATCGAATTTACTCGAAGATACTTTAGAGAGCATCCATATTAGATTGTTGCTTTATATATAGGAAGCGTCATTTTTGGTTTTATTATACATGCTATTGACTATCTATAGACTGCCAATCAATTTTAATAGAGTTATAAAAGGTTCTTTGTGACTTAAAAGATCAACTACTTTTATTTAGCAATGGACTATATACTCTGATAATGCATGTGCAGCTAGTAATGTTATTCAGTTTATCTATACAAATATTTATCATATTTTTAAACTTAATTTTCGACAGTCTAGGACAACTGAAACTCGTTTCATTGACTAACTCAACTTGTTTTTTTTAATGCCAGAATTAAGTACTCTGGCATTTAAAGATCAAACTTGAATGAGCTAAGTCCAATAAGTCAGCTAACAAACAAAGCTGACAGAGGTACATCACATACATATACACAGATAAGCTGAAGAAGAGATAAAGATTAAGAGCAAGGTGAATCATCATATGCATTCTAAAATAGTCAACACATTTTACAACACTCTTTTGCTTAGATCTTTTTAAATATAAGAAATTTCCATTAGACAAAAAACCTAGAGAAAAACCAATCGATTGAAAATTTTTCTTCTTCATTTGCAAACTTTTAACAACACTATTGTTTGGCAACCCATTAGTGCACTGCAGTTAGATTTAAATCGAAAAATATTAATAAAGAATATAGATCATTTTTGGTCCATCAGAAATAAAATATCGTTTGCTGCACTGGACGTTTTACAACACTATTCTCTATTCAGTCGTACTTGAATTCTTTCTCGAAATGCCTAGCTCTTGAACTAAGCAAAAATCTGATGGACTAAACCATAACTATGTTCGTTTGAAAAATTGTGTTACAACGTTTTGCAACACTGCCCCCAAACTTACTCTTCGGTGCTGAACATGCGCACCATATGCCGCTGCAAGTACTGCGGCACACACTGCGGCGATGGCGGCGGCGTTTGATAGGGATTCGTCAGCGTCTCATCGTCATCGAAGTAACCCGACGAGGTGGTGGAGGAGGTGCGCGGATATTTGAGCATAATGAACAAACACGAAACAGGTGAACAATGGCAAACAGTGACAACAATTACACTTTATTGTGCCTGATATTGCTCGGGGTCTAAGCTCTTCGCCGTCTATTTTTGGCACAATTTTTGACAATTGACAATCAATTTGATTATTTCTCTTTATTATTTTATGGTTTTCTTCAATATAGATATGTTTTGTCTGCCTTTTTTATTTGTTTATGGTGTTTTCTTCTTATTTTTGTTTTCTATTTTCGCGCATTCACTGGCATAAATTTAAATTGTATTTACGTAGGCCACGCCCTAATTTGTAGCTGTTATATAAAGAAATTTGTGTTTTTAATTATTATTCAATCAGCACAAAGAGCGTGAAACAAAATCAAAACAACGCGTCGAAAAAATTTTGTTGCTGTTGCTGTTGTTGTTGGTATTTACATACTATTTTGTAGTTTCGCTGATCTAAAATATCTGCGAAAATGTACGAATGAACACGAATTGCGCTCAGCAATTGCAACGTTTTTTTTTTATTTTTTTTTTTTTATTTCTTAATTTAAATTCAATTTCAATTTCAAATTTTTTTTCGATTCTGTTTATTTATATTTGTTTATTAGCGCGCGCTTCGCTGGAACTTGTTTAACATCGTGCCAAATGGTAACAACTAATATTTTATAAAAATTTAGCATTATTTTTATAGCAAATATTCAACCGCGAGAGATTTGTCGCCTCTTGTGCTCGCTCTCTCTCTCTCCGTCTCTCTCTCTGGTCAGCAATTTACAATTAATCAAGCGCTAAACTGCGTTGACTAAAAATAAATATTAAAAAATTAATTAAACATACAAAGAAACGAGATTCTAATTGCTAGCGACGAGCATATTGAGGCATAATATTTCGGACTAGATAAATATTTGAAGAGCATATTGAAAGAGTATTGTCATAGGATGATTGATGGACTTTGATG